CATTAATCATTGGAAAGAAGTTGCAAAGAGTATGTTAATTAAGATTTGCAGAAGGAATATTTAAATGAGAGGTGCAGCAAAGAGAGAAAGAGCAATAAGGCACAGGAGTCCTGGGGGGAAGCTGGTATGGTGCGAGGTTTGAAGTGGAATGGGAAGAAGCAGATGCTGTGCAACCCAACATGTTAAATGGGATACTGTACTTCCAAAGTCATCCCAAATGCAGTTTGGTTGGGGTCTGGGTATGGGGGTCCTGGCCTGGACCTACTGGCAGAGCTGGGAGGGAGAGGATGGTGAGGTCTGGGGCTGCCATGAGTGTCCAGTCTGGGCACCCATGGGTGTCTTCTCCAGGTCGGACTGTAGCTGAGAAAGTTGATGGATTGATTGCCTGTTAGACACTGCTCTCCTGGCTGATACAAATGATCCCAGCTCTGTTCCTGGGTATGGTTTGCTGGGACGTGGCTCTGGAGGGTCTGTGCTCAGGAGCAAGCCTCTGCCTGCTGAAATGGCATTTATAGGGTCTCTGTGCTGCTGCTGGCCATTGGTTTAGGTTAAATTAATTAGAAATCCATCAGCTCAAATTACTGTGTAGCTAAAACCCAATACAGGTGTTTTCTACACCTGCTCATTGAGTGCTGCTGATAGCCTTCAGCACTGGCAGGATAGGTTTGTGTCCTGAGCCTACTGGGTCCTGTCCTGCCCCTTGTCCCAGTTTGGGTCCAGGGATTGGTCCCTGCTGATGGTATGTCCCCCCCTTGGTGTGCCATAAGGTGGCTGTGCCTGACCTCCCCTTGCACCCAGGGTTTGGTGGTGCTTTGTGTGTCTGCTTTATCTGGCATGGGATGAAATGCTTGAGAGATAGGTAGGATGCTGTGGAGCTGAAATGTGGGAAAGCTAAAACTGGGATGAGTGGAATTTCAAGAAGGGACCCTGGGGTCATCTGCTCTGCCCTCAGAGCCACACAGGGTGCAAGAATGCCCTGAAGCTTTTATTTCTCATTTGAAATACAGCACAACTTTTCGAAAAGCATCCAGGCTTGCTTTAAAAAAAAATAATTAAAAAAAAATGACAGTGATGGATAATCCACTACACCCCTTGGTAAATGTCCTAGTGTTTAATTACCTTCACAGCCAAAAAGGAAAGAAAGGAAAAGTACACAGTGTGAAGAGCCCCTAGGGTTGTGTAGTTACTGCTGATACCTGACTGCTCACGGTGGTTCATCTGCTGGGACGACACGGGGGATGTGCTGCTCCAGCACTGGGGGCTCACTCAGCCCCCAGTCCAGCTGCAGGATGTGATGGGGGGTCCTTATGCTGTCCCAGGGCACTGTCCTTGGAGTGCTGTCCTGGGGCTATGAGAGCCCTGTTTCACCCAGCAGCAGGTCAGTAGCAATGGGGCTCATTGCCAGCACAATGTGGGACAATAAATGGCTTTGGATGTTGTGCAGGAACAATAGTGGCTTCATGTTAGGAAAGAAATAGGGATATTTTTCCCCCCCCAGGACACAACTTCGTGTTGGTGTTTGGAGGAAGCAACAGAAGGGGCTCAGGGTAGCACAGACTGAGTGCTGAGCTGTTCAGCACCAGTTTTGCTTTGACCTGTGGAAGGGATGCTGTGGTGTAAGAGGTCTGCCCAACCCAAATCGTGTTCTCCTCCAGCCTGGGACCTTCTGTGACTTCAGCCCTTTTGGGTGGTGGCTGGGGCTTGCTTTCTGAATGGCTGAGTTGTGTTCAGTGTGACTACAAAGCTGGAGGGCTCCTAGGAGGACCATGCCACATCCCCCCACTCTGGGGAGCAGAATTGACCAAGCAGAGCTGGAAAGGCCAGAGCCTGATGCAAGGAGGCTTGTCCAGACCTCAGAGGAGCAGTGGGGCTCCTTTGTCTCTCACCGCTTTGGTAGGGCAGGGTGGTGGTTGTGTTTGAAGCAGCACATGCGTCCTCTTGCTGCTCACAAATTGCTCAGCATCTTGGACAGATGCCCAAAGAGTAATAGCCCTCCAATCCAGCAGCTTGGCAGCCTTCATAATTTATGTGAGGGCCCAATCTCTTGGGCTTCAAAGTGGCCTCTCCCGTTGGTTTTCCTTCTGTGCTTCACCTGAGTCCTTGCTGCTCTCCAGCTTCAGCCGAGGTTTGCTGTGGTACCACAAGCCCTGCAGTTCTTCACACATGTGGGTTGTCCCCACCAGACCTCTTCTTCCCCATCCATTATGTGGGTCTCAGCAACTCTCTGGTGCCGGTGGCTCCTGCCTGGCCGGCCCAGGGCAGGCAGGAGCGCAGTGGGAAGGACATTACGTGGGAGAATATGCATGTTCACAGCTCAGAGGATTAAAGGCCCATGTTCTTATCACTGCAGAACAGAGTATTATAAATCCAGCCTTAGAATACCAAATCCCCGTGCGGCTCGGCCATTGTTTGGGAATATTAAAAAGCTTGGAGACAGAAATAATCAGTTTCCGAATGACACATTGTCAAATAAAACATTTCTCATATTATCCCTTCTTTCCCCTTTCTCTCTACCGCTCCCTCAGTTGGATAATTTAACATGAAAAATAGATTAAAATGAGGCTGGCTTCAATGCCTCCTAAGTTTGACTCTTTTTTTCTTTTTTTTTTTTTTCCCCCCTCCCTTTTCCCTGGGAAGCTCTCCCAGCGTGTGTGGCGTGGTTAAACAAGCAGTGCCGGTGCGGGGTCGGGGACGAAAGGAGCACATTGAAAGTGAGCTGCCTGTGATGAGCCCGTGGCCCTCATCCGAGGGGCTGGCACAGGCACCCCCAGCCTTTCCCAGGCAGAGGGGGGCTGTTGTCTCGCTGGCTGGCACAGCAGAGATCTGTGGCTCATCCCCAAAGGATGTGGGAGCTGCAGGCAGGCTGAGCTGGGAGCCCTTCCCTGTTGTTCTTGAATTGGAGGGGGAACGGTGCACTGGTAACCTCTGTGCCTTTATGCCTTTTTGTAGTTTCTCCCAAACAGAGAGATCTTTAATTTAATATGCTGAGAGGTTTATCTGCTCTGAGTGGTTTCCCAGGGGCAGACACAAGGTGAGCCCAGCCAGGCTGGTTCACAGCCCCCAGCCCTGCCACGGGTGCCCAGACCCCTTCTCTGGGTCTAGCTGGCACAGCTGCTCCTCCTGTAAGACTTTCTTAGTCTTCTTGACCTTTTCCAAGCATCTGGGTTGTCTCCAGTTGTAGTTTTCCATGGAGGGTGGGTGCTTATGGGTGCAGAGTGCTCTGCCCTGCTCTGCAGTCACTTTGTAGTGGCAGTGCATCATCAGGCACTGTGCAGACCCAAGGAAATGTGTCTTCTCTCCCAGGCTGAGGTGTTCATGCAGGTTCTTGCTTCTGAGCATGGAAGGCTATGATGAGTCCTCATCTCATCCCACTGGTCTTGGAAGTGCTCTGGTGCTTCAGGTTATAAACCTGGGCTGCTCATCAAGCCCTGCTGTTCTCCCCCACAGAGATGATCCTGGACAGCTCCTGGACACTAAAATACCTTTCCCAAAGGTGTGTGTCACCCAAATTTGGGAGTCCAAGCTGAGCAGTGTCCTGAATCCCTGAGCCTTGCTTCTGTTAGTGACAGTTATGGGGGAGAGAAAGGGGTCCTGATGTGGGGTATGTTGGACTGAGCTCTCCTCTGTGGCAGGTCGGGGTGATGCAGGGAAGTGTCTCTCCTCTGCTCCAGCTCCCGAGGCCCCTCCCCACCAAACTCATCCTGTGAGCTGCAGTTTTCAGTGCAACCTCTTCACAGCTGATCCTGTTTAGGAGTCAGAGCAGCGCTCCGGGTGCAGTCTGGTGCTTCGCATCGAATACAGAGGGAATATTTTCACGCCTCCGCTTTGCTGTTGCGCTCGGTGGAGCTCTGGGCTGTGGCATTCCCAGTGCCAAAGGAACGCCTGCCCTGCCCTGCCTGTTCATGTCGCTCTGCAAAGCCCTGGTCGCTCATGCTGCTCCTGATTTACATGCCCTGCCTTGCTTGTCTGCCACGGGATAAAATTGCTCCGATGCTGCGGAGATTAAGAGGCTGGAAGCTGGCACAGGCACAGCTCCTGTGTGTGCGGGGCTCAATTTAACCTCCAGAGCAGCCAGAGGCAGGGCTGGCTCCCTTTGGTACTTCCTAGCCCAGATCCCTTGAGAGGAGATGCCACTTCCCTGAACAAATACATATATGTATTTGTAGGGTGTTTTTTTTTTTTTTTTTTTTTTTTTTTAATGTAGTTGAGAGCTGTGGTGAATAAAGGAGGAGGGGAAAGAGGAGAGCTTAACAGAGATGGTCTTGGTCTGGAATACCTTGAGCTGTACCCCCAGGTCAGCAGTTGAAGTCTGGAACCCACAGGGAAATCGGATCAGAAATGAGGGAGCTGGGTTAACCATACCCTGGGGAGTGGTGCCTCCGTGGGGCCATTTGTTGCACCATCATTTTTATAAAATGTTGTGTGTCTCTGCTGAGGCTTTACTGCTCCTGTGTTTGGCTGGGTTGTTCCAGTGAATTTTTTTTTCTTCTAAGTGGCTGGATGTGATTGTCTCCTTCCCCATCTCCCCATGTGTAGGGGAGCTGGGGGTCCCAAGGAGTGAATGGAAGGAATGAAGTTCCTGGGAGAATGGGCAGAGCTGAGCTGGGGGTATTGCTGTGCTGTCCCCAGCTAAAGGCCACCTCTGGCATCCTGCTCCACTTGACCTCTGACCCCACAGGTGGCTGCTTCATGAACCCACCTGTGTTGATGGAAGTGTGCTCTGAGAGTTTACTCAGAGTGGTGAAGCACTGCAACAGGTTGCCCAGAGAAACTGTGGCTGTCCCATTCCAGGAAGTGTTCAAGGCCAGGATGGACCGGATTGGAGCAACTTGGGATAGTGGAAGGTGTCCCTGCCCATGGCGTGGGTTTGGAACGAGATGAGCTTTAAGGTCTCTTCCAACCCAACCATTCCATGGTTCTGTGGACACTGCAGCATCTCATCACCCGTCCCTGCACCCCGTGCATCTCCTGACCCTGTGCCCTTTTCTCTCCTCTTGCAGGGCGGGCTGATCGCGCTGCTCCTGCTCCTCCTGGTGTTCATGGTGGCCCTGTACGCCCAGCGGCGCTGGCACAAGCGCCGCCGCATCCCGCAGAAGAGCGCCAGCACCGAGGCCACCCACGAGATCCACTACATCCCCTCGGTGCTGCTGGGCCCCCAGGCCCGAGAGAGCTTCCGCAACTCGCGCCTCCAGGCCCACAACTCCGTCATCGGGGTGCCCATCCGAGAGACCCCCATCCTGGACGACTACGAGGACGAGGAGGAGGAGGAGACCCCACGGCAGGCAGAGCCCAGCACCAGGGAGGACGAGTTTGGCAGCCAGGTGACACGGACACTGGAGAGCCTGGGTCGGGGCGGGGAGGAGAAACCCGACTACGAAAAGAAAGGTTGGTGGCTTTTCCCTCTCTCCTCTCCTGGGGAGCAGTGCGTTCCCCAGAGTGTTCCTGCTAATGCTCACTTGATCGCCCGCATTTTTAAAGTCTGCCTCTCAGAAGCCTCTACACCCACCTCTGCTTATTGAAATGTTATTATAAGCCATTTAATATTGTTCACCTGCAATGCACAGCAAAATGCATTTGAATAAACAAAAGCAAAGCACATTAGTGCTGATTGTTAGTGCCAGTGAGTGACTCCAGCAGGAGAGAGGAAGGGATGTGGGATGCACTGGCTTGCTCTGTACAGGGAAGGGATCTTGGGGTGATGCTGAACCATCCTTTACGTGTGGGCTTCCCATAAAGACTGTGTGATGTGTGACCCTGTTGGAGCACCCAGGGTGGCAGGGATGGGGACCAGTGTTCTTTTTGGCTCTGTGGAGCAGACTGTGGCTCTGAGCAACAGAGCCAGGGAAAGCCTAGATGACACATTGTGTCTGGAAAGCAGCTCCCTGCCCTCGTGATGGTCAGAAGCGGTGGCTGAGGTTGTGTTTCTTCCACCCTTAAAGTGCTCTTTACTCCTTTGCTTTTAAACAAGGTTATGATGATGGTGATTGTTATTGTTGCTTAAACAGATTCAGAAGTGCCCAGGGGTCAATCTGCCATCCTTAAGTGCTGCTCTGAGCATCTCTGTTGGCATCCCTTGGGGTACAGCTGGCTGTTAGCAGCCCATGGGGTTAAGAGATGTTTTACCAGCCCTTTACTCAGTAAGAATGAACAAATGAAAGCCTTCATATATTGTAACTGAGCTACCTTCTTTATTCGTTTGTATTATCTTCTTTGTTTTGCTTTTCTATAAATTATTTAGAGTTGTGTGAGTGGGGAAGACAGCAGTAACTGCATTTCAGTACTCTTCAAAACATAATAGCAAACAAGATCTAGAGCAGAATATTAAGACTATCTGAGGGCTTCAAGAATTGTCAGTAAAGATCTTGCACAGGTCCCCAAGCCAGGGCTGCAAGCTGCCTACAGTGCCAAGGCTATCTGGGCTGGGAAAGGTGTTCACAAATGCTCCTACCAGCTCTGCTCGTGATTTTGTGCCTTGCCTACTGTGATCCTTCCAAACTCTGCCAGTTCACTGTATGTTTCCTCCCAGATGGGCACTTTTCCCTCTTGGATGAGGCTCTGCTCAAAGAGCCAAGCTATGGTAGGTGCTTAGTTACTCCTCTCTGCTGAGGCTGGTTAGAGCCTGGATTGCCAAGGATGAGGTGGCTGTAGTTCAGATCAAGAGTTTCTAGACTAGAAATATAAATATATGTGCTGTGGGCTTTCCACTCTGACTTGGTTTGCACAAGTGTGGGAAACGTGGTGATTTGGGAGGCGTCGGACGTGCCACACCAAGGTGCTTTGACTCACCTAGGAGCAGCAGCTGCAGACGGATTTCCACAGGGATTTGGCAGGTGGGGTGGAGAAACTGCAGTTGATGTGAGCAGGCATCATGTTCCTGGAGAGCCCCAAGGGCTGGAAACCAGTTCTGCTCAGGCATGGCTTTAAAGCTGGATTGAAGATAGATGCATTAAGGGAGATGCAGCTGGAACATGGCTGCAGTGTGAGGATAGGGTCAGCCTTTTTCCAGTGCCCATCTGGAGCTGTCAGGTTTTGGTGTGATCACTGGGGACGGGTGAGGAGCTGTGCCTGCATCCCAGGGAGCCCATCAGCTCCCATGGGAGAAGCTCTCCTTGCTGTTCTTGCTGTGTTGCATTGTGATAAGGCATCAGCTGGGAGTTGTCAGCGGGCTCCAAACGGTATCATCGCCGGGGCTGTCACCAGAGGCTCTTTCAAGTGTCACTTCCCAGCATTAATTACCAAGGATGGCAAATCCAATGAAGATGGAGCATTTCTGCTCACCCTCCACCTGCCTGTGCTGCAGCTTCCCCCCTGTGTTGGGCACTGATTGATTTACAGGGTGCCAGGTCATGCCAGGAGCGGGCACCTTCCCTTCCTGGGGGTTCGTGCATCCCACGCTCCGCAGATGTTGGCTCAGTTATCCTTTCCACGAGGAAGAGTGTGGGTTTTATTTATTTTTTTTAATTCTCCACTTCTGGATGTATCTGGTCAGGGAATCAGGCAGGGGATTGCACTGGACGACTCTGTGACATGCAGCCCTGCAAAATGAGAGAGAAGTCCCTGCTCGGAGGTTGAGCAGCACAAATATTTTGCAGATCACGGCTCGGCGAGCCAAACTTTCCTTCCCAGCTCAGGCAGTGCTCAGGCAGCGATGCAGATGGGAGGGATGCTCCTGCCTGGTGCCAGAGCATCTGAAGTGAATCCCAATACAAACAAAACACGGGAGTGATGTGCTGAATAATGACATCTAGCAACAAGCGCGTCTGAGTGATAAAGTTAATGAAATTACAGGTTCTGACCTGATACCGGGCTCTGCTGTGGGGAGATAAACAGCAGGGCAAAGATGAGATGTTTATTTCTCCCTAGCTGCAGTTGTAATCTGGATGTGCTGTGCAGGGCCATTAACATTATTACTGTTATGCAAAATCATTTTTGACTTGGGGGGAAAAAAAAAAAAAAAGAAGGAAAGAAAGAAAAATCTCCCAACTGCCTAGAAAATGGAAAGCTGGCAAAATTAGAATTGCAGCAGGAGCACAAGCTGACCTGGTGACATTGCACAGAGCCCAGATGAATTTAGACAGAAGAAAAATCCGAGGCAGTTTAAGAAGAAAAGTAGAAAAGTAGTACTTTTTTTATATTTTATTAATAATAAAATGAAATGGAGTGAGGCCGGAGGCAATAGCCAGGCTGTCCTAATTGTACAGAAGGATCCCTTGAGCTGGGGTGGTGAGGGGGCTGTGTTGTCTCCTCGTGGGTTTGGGTTCTCTCTGCCAATCAGAAGGTCTCCAGAGGGTTGTGTACCCCGGGTGTGTGTGGTGCCAAGTGGGGTCTGCTGGTGTGGGGTGTAGTTTCTGGAGTCTTGGTTTTTGCTGGGGAGACCTCCATGTCCAAACTCAGCCCCTGTGTGTACACAGCATTCAGCAATTACAGGGATTTGGGTAAATTCATGTAGGTGATCCACTGTCCTCACTGTTTCTGTGCTCACTTCACTGGGTAGTTTAGTTTCCAGTCCGTGTTCCTGATGATTTCTGCTCTCCTGCCTTTCCCGAACAGATGGCCTCAAGCTCCATCCCTTTGGGAATTCCTCACTTTTCTTTTTCAACACACCTGGCTCTCATCCTTACCCACATGGCTTCATCCTATGGCAGCAGGAGCCCTGTTTTTCTGTCCATTACGTGCTATTTGAGGGGCTTTGGCCCCCAGTCTATCACTGCATCTCCCCCTGCGATGTACTGGGTGCACAGAGATGGAGTTAGTAAGTGAAGGCAAAGTCCAGCAAACCTGAATATGGGATTATCCACAAGTTCCACAACGAGAAGATTTTGCCAAACCAGATCTCCTAAGGACCAGTGAGAAGCAGAACTTCTGCCTGGTTGAAAACTGAGGAGAAATTAGATGTCAGACTTGAAAATCGAGTATTTGCAATTCCAGTCCTGCAACAAAGGACCCATCTTTATTTCCTGGTTTCTTTCATGTTCAAAAAAAGCTTTTCAAGCAGGCCTTTGTGCTGGTTTCACAGGCTCTGCAGTCTGGCCTCCAAGTCTAGACAGGAGACAGGACTGGTGCTTCCGATGATTAATACCGTGGGCATATCAAAGGTGTGGCTGTGCAGTCATCTTGATTTCCTGTCTCCTGGACTTTCTTGCCTGCTATGTTAGCTCAGGTAAACCTCTGAAGTTTCTCTTACTTAATCCATGGATGCTTTTCTCTGTAGTGGTAGTGAGTTGCTTTAGAGCATTCCTGAAAGATAGTCTGGCACCTCTAGAGCGCACCTGGAGATGTAGATCCAGCTCCACTCTGCCACTGGCTGCTCTGTAACCCTGGTCATGCCATTTAATGGCCTAGTCCTCATCTGTGGGTTGGAGAGAGGAGCTGGAGAGAGCAGGCAGGGCAGCATGAGGAAACATTGAGAACTGAAGGGGCTGTGGTCCCACCAGCCTTCCAGCCAAACTGTTGTGGGTGATACAGTCCAGGAGAACTGCAGGAGAAGGGAGTTAGGGAGGGGAGACAAAGGGCTTAGGCTTGAGATAACAGCAAAAGGCAGGGGAAGGACCCTTGTGGTGAGGAGAGGGAGCTTCCTATGCCCCCCCCCAGCGCTGGAGCAGCTGTTCTGGTGGTCAAACCTCAGTCAGCATTTTGACCTTCCAGCAGTGACTCCTCTGGGAAGAGGTAAGGCAGCACTCCGGCTGGAGGACTGGGGATGTCAGGACTGGGGAAAGGGACACTTTGGGGGCTGAGATGTGGAAGAGGAGCGTGGACAGTTAAGCTGTGCCCTAGATTTGCTATTCATTGCAAATACATGAGCTCTGCAGTATCTTGGAGGTGAGACTTTAAAAGACGGGGTGCGAGTCGGGGCGATGCCCTCGCAGTGGGCAGGTGATGGTGTTGCCCTCCATGCTGGAAAAAGAAGAGCTCAGTGGCAGCAGGAATGAGATGACCTGTCCTTGAGGGGCCATCAGTGTCTGTTTGTGCTTATGGCTGGCCACCATGCCACGATGTACCATCCCTGGTGCCCACACCACCAGGGCTGGGAGCCACTGCAGCTGCTGTTTGCTCGGGTAGTCAGATGCAGTTCCACCCTGATTCCAAGCATTAACCAGAAGCTTTCTGAGCCTTTAATAAATAAAAAGACAGCTTAACGTTTGCTGGGGCTGGAGGCTAAAATGGGACAGTACGTCAGGCCGGCATCTGATGTGTCTTGGGGCTCTGTCTTCTTTTCAGTGACCTGATGGGATCATGACCCTCTTTGTACGTGATCAGCTTTTCCCAGCTCTAATCCCCGCCAACTCCTTCCGTAATTTACAGAGATCTTTGAAAATGTATATTCTTGTAGCTTGCCAGCGGAAAGTGTTTCTTGCACTCCACTATTGCTGGCTGCAGAACACAGC